ACAACTGTGGCAAAATAAAAAATCCTAAACTTTAATTGATTTCTAGTTCTACCACAGCTGTTGAAAAATGTTGTAGTCCATATTATTAATTAATTTTAAGTTAAATAATTATATTTTATGTTCACACCAACATGTTAAATTTTCATAAATGCTAGAAGTAGTGCAAGCACAAGTTGCATCAACCGGCTGCCATGTCAAGTAAATTGTATTTTTTATAAAGCTGCCTTGTCAAATAAATTATTTTTTATGTAGCTTTCTTCATTTTTTTTAATGTTAAGGGTGAAATTGAAACCCACAACTTTAAACTTTTATAAAAAAATTCTGAACAAGGGAATACTGGTCACTGCATCACTAAAATGTTACGTAGCTTTTTTTTTTTTTTTTCTTTTAACATTTTTGTCATGGAACCGACTCGAACTGTTACCTTGAGAGAAGGGGATATAAACCTTACAAACGTAATAAGAGTTACTTGACCCGAAGGCCAAGTTCGTTATGTAGCTTTCTTAACATTATAATTAGAAAAATAATTAATTAAATATGCTAATTTACTTCAGCTACAAGGTAATTAGGCAAGCACGAGAAATGTGTCGGTGTACTTCAATTTGGATTATTCTTTCTCGCAAAATTTGCATGTTTGTCGCTTTCTTGAGGTTCCGAAGGTAGCGTAGTGAAACTGACAGAGTACTTGGACTGGAGAAAAAATTAATTAAGATTTTTTATATTAAACTGAAATAGTAGAGGACTTTTTAATTGTGCTGAGTACTTCAGTATTTAAATAATAATTTTTTTAATAAAAATAAAAAATTTTAAATTCAAAGCTTATAATAAATAAATAAAATTAGTTAAGAAATCAAAATATTTATTTTTTATTATATAATTCAAAATTTAAGATAAAAAACCTTTAAATTGTTCAACTTATTGTGTTTGGATCATCTATCTCTTTTTTTATGCATTTGATAATAATAAGTTATATAAAAATAAATAATTTTCTTTTTTCTTTAAATTTCTCTCAACTTAATTCACAATTTAAATTTAAAATCTTTAATTTAAAATTTTTAATTCTTAATTATTAAATCACTTTTTAAATAACAA